TGGAGCACTCGTGATTTTTGGTGCCATTTTTTATTGTAACAAGGATGACATATAAGCCCTTTAGACTCAAACAACACATCCCTTAATAGTACACAAGTGTTCCTCTTCAAAATAAACCCTTTTCAGCTACCTTACATTTTCATGTTCATTGCTGAAAGCGGGACCCTTTGAGATGGCCACCATCTCAATGATATCTAGTTATTTCTACTTCCCAGTGTCTAATAAATCAACTTCTCCTAGTAGCCATGTCTGTACTGTCAGCAGAGTCTTATTTAATATGAACGCCCATCAATGCTAAATGTGACATAATCTGCACATGTATACGGACGCTAATCGTAATCATCAAAAGCGAGATCGTATTAACGATTGTGTAATTTTGAAAGTGATTTTATAAGTCATCAAATCATAGAATGAGTTTTGCACACAAAATACTGTGCATGAAAAAAGTCCGATGTCATGTCTATAAATATATAAAACCATGTTACGACTGTATTCTAACAGTAAAAGAAATATATTTGCCGACTACGAAAAAATTATCCTAGACTTATAAAATTATTTCCCTTAATTAATACGTATCAAAACCATGTTAGAGAAGCAAGAGTCTCATGCGTACCTATCGACCTTCAATTAACCTTGCCGCAAGCCATTGATAACAGGTCGCAGGTGGTCATCTTTTAAAACAAACAGCCAGACCAGTGTTTTTATGTATTAACAATTAACACCTGGATCAAGAAATTTGAGCAGACTTGACAGACCAGTTGAAAAATCATTGTCCAGATAAATGAACCAAAATATAACATAAAAATTCATTTTGTTTTGAAAAAAGACCGTCTGGATATTGGACACGGAATTCCGGCTAAATGAGACAAAATAACGTTAAAAAATTTCATTCCCATGAAAAATTGTCCGTAAACTGAAGCGTCCTGATATCTGGCATCAGGATATCTGAAGATCCACTGTATAAGCCTTATGCTGACCAAATTTGCATGGATGATACTTCTAAGGATGCAAACTACCACACTTGCTTCAGATGCTGGATCTGACCTTTATTATACCCCAGGCCACGCAACAAGTTGTGGGGGGATAATGTTTTTGACCCGTCCATCAGTCAGTCCGTCAGTCCTGTTTTTGTCAGCGCCACTCCTCATAAACCACCGCACAGAATTTCGTCAAACTTTGCAGATATTTAGGACACAATGTGTAGATGTGCATATTACCAGGAAATTTTGATTCCTTTATTTTTTCTGAGAATTTCGGCACTTTTCAACTTAGATTTTTGGCCATGTCTTGAATATAGAGATGAACAGTTTGTCAGCGCAACTCCTCTTAAACCGCTGCACAGAAATTGGTCAAACTTTGCAGATATTTAGTACATAGTGTGAAGATGTGCATATTACCAGGAAATTCTGATTCCATTATTTTTCTGGGAATTTCGGCACTTTTCAACTTAGATTTTTGGCCATATCTTGAATATAGAGATGAACAGTTTATCAGTGTAACTCCTCTTAAACCGCTCTACAGAATTTGGTCAAACTTTGCAGATATTTAGTACACAGTGTGTAGATGTGCATATTACCAGGAAATTCTGATTCCATTATTTTTGCCCTAAGAGTTTTGCCTATTATTGAAGAAACTTTCCAGATAGGTAATAAGGAAATCCACTGGAATCAGCTTTTGTAATGAAGTTTTATGTGAAATATTTTATGACCTTAAAGGTGCTTGGACACAGATTTGAAGTTAATATATTCTCAAATTTTCTGTATATGTTCATGACTTATATGTTGTTATAGCATTTCATACTAAAATTTAATAAAAGTCTTATTTCATATCGAAGTTATTGAAACTTCAAATTTCTGGACGCGTTTGATTGACACATCCTTGCACTTTCACAAATTTTAATTTTATTCTAAATACTTAAGAAAAGTGGCAATTTTGTTTTGTATTAATGAAAAATAGTAAAACTATAATCCAGAAAATTCAGAGTAGAAATGTTCGAAAGCAAAACTCACTCACAGTATTGTCAGTCCATGCTCAGTGGTGTGTGCAGACTTTAACAATTGAACACACCCGGTGAATCATAAACATTAACAATAACAGAGCTCGTGCCCTGTTTACAAAAATGGTTTATGTTTCACGGGTGTATTCAATTTGTTAAACTCTGTACACAACACTGCATGAGCACGGGCTGACGATATTAGTGAGGGGGTTTGCTTTCGCACATTTCTACTCTGAATTTTCTGGATTATAGATGTAATGTTTTTCATTAATACACAACAAAATCACTTCTTTTCTTAAATATTAAGGATAAAGATAAAATTTGTGAAAGTGCAAGGATGTGTTAATCAAATGCGTCCAGGAATTTGTAGTTCCAATAATTTCCAGATAAAATAAGTTTTTAATGATATTTTTGTGTGAAATGCTTCTGCATTATTAAAGTCATGATATTATACAGAAAATTTGAGAAAATATTTACTTCAAATCTGTGTCTAAGCACCTTTAAAAAACCCCTATTGATTTTGAGATCAAAATATTTATGATTTAACACACACACACAAAATCTTGGATAGTTCTCACCCCCTCCACCTGAAATTGGTGCTTTGCCTTAAATAATTTCATAAGTACAGTATATAACATTCATATGACTACATCATAATTTTGTTTCCATCAATTATTTAAATTTGTGAATTGTCATGTGTTGGACATGGGCTTACACTCATTAACAAAACGAAATCACTGAGGAATTTAAATAACAGTTTGTCAACATAACTCTTGCACTGAATTTCCTGAAACTTTATAGGTATTTCAGACATAATGTATAGAATTGTATATTATCAAGAAATTTTGATTCCATTATTTATCTAGAAACTTCAGCCCAATTAAATTTGTAACATACAAAGATTTGAATGTCCATATATATTTGATGTGATATTTTTCTGCAAGTAATGCCCCTTTTTGAATTATAATGTGTATTTAAAATGCACTGTGCCATTCATTACGCATTGCATTGTCGAGTTTTGGGTGATACATCTAAGGATGTACACTACTTGACTTTGCTTTTGATGCTGTATCTGTCATACATTTTCCAGATGAGTGACCAGGTTATAGTAAACTATAAGGGCTATCAGAACCAAACTTGCATGGATGATGCATCACAGGATGAACACTCTCAAACTAATGCTTCAGATGCAGGATATGACTTACATTTTCTGGATGAATGACTAGTTTAAAGTTTTTAGGTAAGTCCATTCCCAGTTGACTGCAAGCCCTATTAGACCAAAATTGCAGAAATGTTAAATATAGGGATGCACACTACTAGATTATTAATTTGGAACTTTGCCTTACTTATAGACAACATTCGTTGAGGTGAGCTCTGTAATCTCTGATTACCTACGTTTAAAATTTATAGCTGTAATGGTTTGGGCTGTGGATATTGGCCTGAGTAGCTAAGTCGGTAAAGCACCTGACTAGTGATGCAGGGGTTCCCGGGTTCGATTCCCAGTCCAGCCATACATTTTTAGCTCACCTCAACGAAGTTGGGGGAGCTTATGTAATACCCTCGGTGTGGGCGTCCCAGGTTAAAGTTTTTGGAGCAGTTTTCTTTTCAAGTACTTCTATGCCCTATATCAATCAGAGATGCATGGAGGATGCTTTTAGTGTGTTTCATTGTACCAATCAAGGTATCAGATGCTGCAATTTCAGCTAAAGAATGACCAGGTTAATGTTTTTGGAGAAGGTTAAAGTTTTTGGTGCAGGATAAAGTTTTTTGAGCAGATCTCATTTCCAAGTAACTATAGGCCCTATATTGACCAAACTTACATGTATGATACATCTAAGGAAGCACACTACTGGATTTGCTTCAGATGCTGGATCTGACCTATATTTTCCAAATTAGTGACCAGGTTAAAGTTTTTGGAGCAGATCTCATTTCCAATTTACTATAAGCCCTATATTGACCAAACTTGCATGGATGATACATCTAAGGATGCACACTACTGGATTTGCTTCGGATGCTGGACCTGACCTTCATTTTTCCGGATGAGTGACCAGGTTAAAGTTTTTGGAGCAGGTCTCATTTCCAAATAACTATAAGGCTTATCTGAACCAAACTTGCATGGATGATGCATCAAGGGTCGAACACTCTCAAACTTGCTTCAGATGGTGGATTTGACTTACATTTTCTGGATGAGCGACTAGTTTTAAGTTTTTAGATAAGTCCATTCCCAAGCAGCAAGCCATATCAGACCAAAATTGTATAAATGTTGCATCTAGGGATGCACACTACTAGATTATTAGTTTAGTGTGGGACTTTGCCTTACTTAAAGACAACATTCATTGAGGTGAGCTCTGTAATCTCTGATTACCTATGTTCTCCTTTCCTGTTACAATTGCATAAGTCAATTAATTAGTGAATTACTTATATATATATATATATATATATATATATATATATATATATATATATATATATATATATATATATATATATATATATTTTTTTTTTTTCATATTGAGATATCACATTCATATCCCCCCAATCCTTTTTTAAACATACATACATGTACATGTATATCTCTCAGACTGTTTCCTGGTTACAGGGCTAGAAATAATAATATTTTTTCACTTGTCACTCGGGCTATGGCCTTAAATTTTTACTAGTCAACTAAGTACTTTCACGGCCCCACTGGGCCAGTAGATTTTAAAAAGACTGGCCCAATAATAAATTTAACATTTTTTATACTTGGTACATGTAGTACAACTTAACAAAACAAGATACAACAGAACTTGGACACACAACTCTGTCAAGATAACTAGCCCGACTGTGAATAAATTTTGTTATGCATTAAAGAAACACTGACCCAAAGGGCTCATGCCCTCTACAATGTACTAGCCCAGATTAAAAATTCATTCACTGGCCCCTGACTAGCAGGCCATCAATTATTTCGAGCCCTGACTGTTACTGCCTTGTTAGTTTTCTAGCAAACATTTGCATTTCATTTCAGAGCATTCTTTGGTGGTGTAATATACAAGAGTATTGGCCCAGCTGACAAATCAGAAGCTGATCACAAAAATCCCAGTAGCCCAAGTAAAACTAATCTGGAAGATATGAGTGAGTACGTTAAATACATGGTTCAGAAAGAGCTGCAAAAAGTCCAGAAGGAAATCCCACAGACAAGTGAAGTGCAGCAGTATAAACAGGGAGAGGTGCAGAAAGTTATAACACCTGAAATGTTAAATGACATGATAAATAATAATATACAAAGGGCAATGGAACAATATGGTGAACAGATTCAGGAGAAATTAGATGCCAAATTAAACAGTCTCCTTAAACTGGAGGAAAAGATTGTGGAAAAATTAGAGGAAAAGGGGACCTATGAGGAGAACTATGATGATGAAAAAAAGGACAGACTTGTATCAGGTTCTGAAAAGGACATCGATGAGAGACTGCATAGAATTGAAAAACTTTTACAAAAGGGAAAATCGGATCACTTCAACTTTTCTCATTATTTGGAAGTTGCTAGCAATGTTATTTCATCTGTCACTGTGACTATAGTTAATATAACTAATAATACTTTTATATTTATTTCCAATACTTCGAAGTGGTCAACTTTAAAAAACCCTATTTTTAAAGGTAAGTAACTGAAAATAGTTATTTTCATAAGTGAGCCTTTGGGCTTAATTATTGGTTAATTAATTAATACAAAGTATTTGAGTACCTCTCCATCATGTCCATTATGCAAAATAACAGAGCCGAGGCCTCCAATGGAACAATGCCAATTGCTTTTGTCTTCTACAAAAATTTAGAATTTTTCTATATGTATATAACAATATTATAACAATTTGTATACATGGTATATAACAATTAATTGTCATATACAAATCTAAATTTAAAAATTCGAAATTTTTGTAGAGGACACTTTTAACATGTTTAAGAAATAAAGAGGCACAAGAAAATTGTCCCATTTAAAGTCCACTATGATATTAAAGTTTTCTTATTGTTTTGTTTTATAGATATTTTATTCATGGCAGGAGTGCTTGTTATTCATTCTCTTCACAGATTTCTTCTCTTTTTGTTATAGTTTTTTGTATAATGTTATAAAGATGTTTTAATTGGCATTAATTATACATAAAAATAATTTGTAATATTATATAGGTTCTAATACCATGAATACTGCAAAGAAAGTGTCATGAAGATTTTAAAAATACCATTTAGACATGGTCATGAGTAGCCCAATGAGGAGAGTGCGATAAACTGTACAGTTGAGTTCAGTACCCAGCTTTGCCACACCAAATTAAAAAATATTATATTTTACAACATTTTACTATGTTCTAACAAGCTTTACACTAATAGAGGTGTACAACTCTCCATATCCAAACAATATTGGGATATTTAAACTAAGGGCGAATTTAAATTGAGTAACTAAATGCTAACATCTAACATTTAACCAAACACATGCTAAATGTTAACATTTTTAGCCAACAAGGAGAGCAATGTTTATAATTTTAATTAACATTTGAATTGTAGAGTGATTAACTTGGAAGTATACAATAGAAATTGCCATCAATGCCATGTTGATTACCGCATTTCAGAGACATTTATTTATATAATAAATAAATTAAAAGTTCATTTGGTACACATGCTTTTAAGTCAGGCCAGAATAAAGTTCAAAAGTTTTACAAAGAATGCAAGATAAAGAAACAACAGACTATAATTCGTTGAACAATATCATTTTTACATTGGCACATGATGCTCTTGCCTGTGTGTACATGAGTTCCTGTTGAAGATAAAAATTTAAGTTATTTCTTTTTAATCAAATACAAATTGAATGTCTTACTTTTTTCCAGGATATTTGGAAGCTATACCAGCTCATTCCATAGTAGTACCCACCCTCGCTGTCATTTTGTCAATTGCTTTTGATGTTTGTTTTTGTTACTGTGTGTGTCGAATTTGCTTGAGATGGTGCAAGAAGACCAAACCAAAAAATGACAAAGGAAAAAAAATAACCCCCAAAACCTCGACATTTTCATCAGACTTGGATATAGAGGTTTGTTATGTGAAATATAATATTTTCTTTTGTTTTTGGGCACATATCGACTTTCTCTCAGGGTTGCTATCTTTTTATATGCCCATCTAAGATAGTGTTTATATCCATCTGCCCCTCCATCTGTTAGCTTTTTTGTGTCTGGCCCATAACTTTGCTATGAGGCCTAGAAACTTCAAAATTTGTCAGCTTGGGTAGAAGATGTGTAGTAGGAAAGGAGAAATGCATGAAGAAAACATATGGCTAGACCGGGAATCGAACCCGGGACCCCTGCATTACTAGTCAAGTGCTCTAACCACTGAGCTATCAAGGCCGATATCCATGGTCTGTATAGCCCGAACTTCTACAGATGTGTTGCACATTAAAAATAGGTCACAGTGACCTTCAATTACGATGATATAGCAAAACCTTGTCTGGCTCTTAACAGTAAAACTGTTTGACCAGGAACAATCAAACTTGGAGTTTTGTCACACCTTAATTTTAAGGTCACTGTGAAATGTTTATATTTTTAAAAAAAAAAGTAATTTTCAGGGAGATAATCCTTACAAAATATCATAGGAGTATTGCAAGTTTGTTACATCAGGAAAATACACATTTTTTTTTGGTACAAAATACTTTATTATGCAATAAATAGTTCTTTTTGCAAAGACTGAGTGAGTACGGTACATCATACAACAGATAGAGAAATTCAATTTGTCACAGGCCTGATGGAAGTAATGATCGTAATGATCTGAGCCATGGAGTTTCAGGGAGTTCAGTTGGACAGGCGCAGCTAGGGCACAATTGCATTTGTCAAGCAGGAGTTGAACTAAACAGTCGTCCAACACCTGGGGCTAGTCATTTTAAGACTCGAGCTAGCTAATTTAAATGTAATGATGGTCCGTCGGACTAGCAGAACAGAAAAATTCTGATCAGTTTACTTTTGCTTTTCTATGTAGACTGGTTTCTTTTAACTAAGAACTAAGAACTACGCATGCTAACTCTCCATAATCCTGCCTATATTTTACACCCATTTAATTCAATACTAATGGCAATTTAGCCTTAAAATCTTTGTTGAATGCAAAGAACAGTTCAATGGTAATTGATTGATAATTTTAATACCAGTGTTAAATAGTTAATTACCCCTATTTCTAGCTCTTTAAATATGGGGGGTAGACGATATTTTTCATTGAAATCGGGTTTTAAAGCATCACCACATTTTAAAATATTCTTGGATATGAATAAATGTTCCTTAAATCTTTTCTTATGTTTACTCATATAAGATTAGATATATATTATTAATAAAATTCTATGTTTTAGTTGTAAACCTCTTTTAAATTGGTTAAAAAATAAGCATTTTTGGTTTTTTGTCCATTAACATATATTCCCCCCCCCCCCCCCCTGTATAAAGGAATTTTTGTTTCACGGGTGGGGGGGGATGTTTTAAAAATATTTTCCATTTTCCTTTGATTTCTATAGTGAAAAACACAAGTTTTACCAAAATTACAGAGTTATCTCTCTTTGTTTTCCCAAAGAAGTAAAAGAAGTAATGTTTTATGAAAATTCATATAGATATCTATATAGATATGAAAAATCATTCAAATGTGTTAACTTTTGAAAATTGACTTGGAGGTAGGGGGGAAAACAATACTATCGTTCACAGTTCTTTAATTTATTTCTGTCTCCAGAGCATTTGAAACTTTAATTTGTTATGTTTTCATTTTGCATAAAACATTGTTGGGCTAGTTAGTTTTAGGTTTGGGCTAGTAATTAAGTTGGTGCACCTTGGTTCCTCAGAGTATGTCAACTGAAAAGTAGGTCACCGTGACCTACTTTTCAAATTTTATGTCTGTATTTAAATGTTTTACATACTTATTGGTGAAGAATCATCAAACTTTGTCATTTAAATATTTTAGGTACTAATTCGCCTGGAATCATCAAACTTTGTCAGTTAATATAATTTGAGTCCTCAGAATGTGTCAACTAAAAAGTAGGTCGCAGTGACTTACTTTTTGAATTGAAAGGTAGGTCACCATGATCTACTTTTGGAATTTTATGATGATGTTTTAATATTTCAGATACTAATTGGCTTAGAATCATCAAACTTTGTTAGTCAATGCATCTTGGGTGCTTGGAGTGTGTCAATGTAAAAGTGGGTCACCATGACTTACTTTTGAAACTTCATGGCTATATTTAAATATTGAAGCTACCAATTGGCTTAGAATTATCAAACTTTGTCAGTTGATGCATCTTGAGTCCTCAGAATGTGTCAACTAAAAGTAGGTCACAGTGACTTACTTTTTGAATTTTAAGGCAACATCCAAATATTTCAAATAAAATGAGACTTAAAATCATCAAATTTTGTGAGTTGAGGCATTTTTAGGTCTTGGAGTATGTTTACCAGAAAGTAGGTCACTGTGACCTACTTTTGGAATTTCATGGCTATATCTTAATATTTAAGAGAATTAAAGGACTTTGAATCATCAAACATTGTCGGTTGATTCATCATAGGTTCTCAAGAGTGTTTTAACCAAAATGTAGGTCATGATGAGCTACTCTTGGAATTTCAAGGCTTTATCTAAATATACAGGATACTTAAAGGCTTCAAATAGAAGTGATATGTTGTACAATTATCAGAAGAGCGATTCAAGGGCCTTGGGCCTCTTGTTTAGCTCACCTCAGCGAAGCTGGGGGAGCTTATGTACTACTCTCGACGTTGGTGTTGGAATTCCAGGTTTAAGTTTTTGGAGCAGACTTCTTTTCAAGGACATATACCTGGTACTTCTATGCCTTAAATTAATCAGAGATGCATGGAGGATGCTTCTAGTGTGTTTCATTGTACAAGTCAAGGTTTCAGATTCTGCAATTTCAGCTAAAGAATGACCAGGTTAATGTTTTTGGAACAGGTTAAAGTTTTTGGAGCAGCCTAAAGTTTTCAGAGCAGGTCTCATTTCCAAGTAACTATAAGCCCTATATTGGCCAAACTTGCATGGATGATACATCTAGGGATGCACACTACCAGGCTTGCTTCAGATGCTGGATCTGACCTACGTTTTTCGGAAGAGTGACCAGGATAAAGTTTTTGGAGCAGGTCTCATTTCCAAGTAACTGTAAGCCCTATGTTGACCAAACTTTTATGGATGATACATCTTAGGATGCACACTAGTGGACTTGCTTTGGATGCTGGATCTGACCTTTACTTTCCAGGTGAGTGATGAGTGACCAGGTTAATGTTTTGGAGCAGGTCCATTACCAAGAAACTATATGGCTTATCTGAACCAAACTTGCATGGAGGATGCATCATGGGATGAACACTCTCAAACTTGCTTCAGATGCTGGATTTGATTAAAAATTTTTCAATGAGTGACTTGTTTAAAAGTTTTTTAGGTAAGTCCATTCCCAAGTAACTGCAAGCCATATCAGACCAAAATTGCATAAATTTTGCATCTACGGATGCATACTACTAGATTATTAGTTCATTGTGGGACTTTGCCTTACTTAGTTAATTAAAGACAACATTCTTTTGAGGTGAGCTCTGTAATCTCTGATTACCTGTTTTAGAATCTGCAAACAAACAAAAAAAAATTCTGCCTACCTAGCCAACTTTAAAAATTTGGATTGGAGTATATCAGACAAAAATATTTGTTTAAAAATGGCCTCACTAGTAAACATTGATTTTCCAGACTTAAAAAAAGAAAACAGTTATTGTTAGTGATAAATATATATAAAATTTTTCACTTTCTATAACATTGTGCTTTTAGCAAAGAATGTTGGCTATAGTACAATGTTTTGGTAAAATGTTGGGCCGGGGACAAGATGTTGTTTTTTTTCATTATTTGAGTAACTTTCCCGAAAAAAAACCTCATGTACTTCACCACACTCCAGTATAATAGTGGTATGTTAAAAAAATAAAATGAGGAGAAATTTGTAATATAATTTGTAATATAATTAATTTCTTCAATTTTATTCGATAAATATGTATTTTTTCAGAGATATCGACAGAAGTTGGAAAATTCTCTGTGCATAGTAAGTTTTTCAAAGGATTTTGTGGAATCATGCCACATGCCACTAATGAAATCAGTAATGGAACGCCTCAAGGATGAGAACCTACAAACCAAGCGTGTTGTAATAAGAGAACCAAACAACCTCAATACCATTCCTCCTTCCAAGGTACATGTACATTGAACTGGCAATGAAATGATAGCATGATATACAGAAGCAAACTTCCATCTAAATTTCCATTTTATTAGCTCGCATGATCTGAAAGCTCAAGTTGAGCTTTTCTGATCACATTTTGTCAATCATCCATCTGCTTTAAACTTTTCACATTTTGGACTTCTTCTCCAGAACCACTGGGCCAATTTCAACCAAACTTGCCACAAAGGATTCTTGGGTGAAGGGATTCAAGTTTGTTTAAATAAAGGGCCATACCCTCTTTTAGGGGGAGATAATTAAGAATTAGTGAAAATTTACTGGCATTAACTTTTAAAATTCTTCTGCCCAAGAACCACTGGGCTAATAAAGATGAAACTTATGTATATGCTTCATTACATAGTGTAGATTCAAGTTTGTTCAAATCATGATTACTGTCATGGTATCTCAGTCGGTAGAGCGATTGCTCCATGATCGGAAAGTCGTGTGTTCGAATAATGGCCGCGACTGACCTAAGTCGATAAAAAAATAGGTAGCAACTGTTTCTTCGCAAAGCGCTCGGCACTTTGAAGAAAAGTTGCGGGTCCTTCGGATTAGACCTTAAAAACCTAAGTCCTGTGTTACAGTACGCGTTGGCACGATAAAGAACTCTCACTGCTCAATGGCCCTGAGTGCTGAGTAAAGGTCTAAATTTGAAGCCCTTCACAGGTTCATGGTGACATTTTCTATGAGTGAAAAATTCTCGAACGGGATGTAAAACAACTTAAATCAATCAAATCATGATCATGTAGGTTGGGACCACATTGAACGATCAAAGTATTATGTAGATATGTTTGTGAAACACTGATGCCCCCATATGGGGCAGCTTATGGCAAAGGTTTAAGTTTCTCATATTCAAGTCAAACTCCAAGGTGAAGGTCAAGAGATAAAAAATATTGATACCCAAAGAAAGGTCTTGTCTCAAGGAATACACCTGTGAAATATGAAGCCCTAGCATCAACCATTCACAAGTTAGGCCAAGGTTAAAGTTTTTCAAAAGTAGATTAAGCTGCAAGATAAAGGTCAAAGGGTCAAAATAAATGGTGCCCAAGGAAAGGTCTTGTCACAAGGAATACAACTGTGAAGTATGAAAGAAAGATGAAGAGAATGATCATAGGCATTTATGCATGCTGTTCAATTCATTTCATTGATTTGAATAAAATATATTTTAAATTAAAGTATGAAAGCCCTAGCTTCAACCATTCAAAAGTTATGGCCAAGGTTAAAGTTTCTCAAAAGTAGGTCAAACTCCAAGGTCAAAAGGTCAAAACTGTTGGTACAATGTACCCAAGGGAAGGTTTTTCCAAAGCAAATACATGTGAAAAACGAAAGCCTTAGCACCAACTGTTCAAAAATGGCCAAGGTTAAAGTTTTTCAGCAGTAAGTAAAACTCAAAGGTCATGGTCAAAGATCAAAATTGTTGGTACCCTAAGGAAGGTCTTGTCAAAAGAAATGTACATGTGAAATATGAAAGCCCTTAGGATTTAGTCCTAGCACTAATTGTTCAAAGTTATGGCCAAGTTTAAAATTTTTTAGAAGTAGGCTGAACTCCAAGATCAAGGTCAAAGGGTCAAAATTGTTGGTACCCAAGGAAAGTCTTATCACAAGGAATAGACATGTCAAGTATGAAAGCCTTAGTACCAACAGTTCAGATTTTATGGCCACATTTAAAGTTCCGTAAAATTTGCAAAAGTGGGCAGGGATAGACATTAACTTTCAGATTCACTTGCCCTTTGGGCAGGGGATCTCAAACTTTGACTTGTCCAAATGCAAAACTTGGTTGCCCAAATTAGATAAAATAATATTACTGTAAATTTTATGATAAAGTTTGACCAGATACACTACTGTAAACTTGGCAATTTGAGGTACCTGAATCTAAAAATGCTTCCAAGGGATTCTGAATGCAAAAACAAAGTCAGTCAGGTACCTGGTGGATATCAATTGTTCGATCTTTTGTTTATTTCATAAATTAATTAATTTATTAAATTAAAGTAAACTAGAAAACAATATACATTTCTGTCAGAAAAAATCACTTGCCCAGTGTTGCATAATCCGGTCGGACAAGTAATGCCCAAACTCTGAATTTACTTGCCCGGGGCAATCGGACAACCGTTAATGTCAATCCCTGGTGGGTTAAACTCCAAGGTCAAGAGGTCAAATATGTTAGTATCCAAAGAAAGGTCTTGTCACAGGGAATACACATGTGAAATATGAAAGCCATAGCTGCAACTTATCAAAAGTTATGGACAAGTTTAAAGTTACTGCAGACGGATAGATAGACAGCTAGACAGATGGATGGACAGAGCAAAAACTATATGCACTCGAATCTTTGATTACGGGGGCATAGAAATATTTAAAAATCTTATGATCAGCAAAGCCTGATTAGTCATATTTATGTGGAAACATCCACAGGTAGTGTTGCTTCAAATTTGTTCAAATCATGATTCATGGGGGAAGCATGGAATGACATAAGGCAATCAAAGTTTTACATAGGAATATATAGTGAACATTTTTGAAAAATCTTTTTCAAGAGAACAGCAAAAGCCATGGCTAGTCATATTTAAATGGAAGTATCTTTAAGTGGTGACTCAAGTTTATTCAAATCATACCCCCGTAGAAAGGGTTGGACCATATTAGGCAATGAAAGTTTACGTTAGGGTTAATGTACAAGTAGTGCTTTATTCCTGAAAAGTAATGGAGCTGAGGCCTCGAAGTTGCCAAGGCCCATTGCTTTTAAGGAATGAAGCGCTATTAATACATTAACAGGCTTAAAATCCACTGTTTTAAATGCTTGTTATTATAGTTTGTTAATATATAATAAAAAATATATAAAGATACACAGTAAATATATATTTAACATATTAGAAGTATTTGATATATAGAGAGAGAGTAAGGCAAGTAAAGTGTTATGATGTAATTTAAATCCGTCGTCAACAATTTCGATAGCGTTTTGAAATGAGTGTCTGACTATCATGGTGAGGGTACTGGGATCGATTCTCAAGAGTACCAGTATATTTCTTGATATGAAAATAAACTTTAGTTAAGGAAGTTTTGTAAGTTCTTTCTTCAGTAGAGGCATGAGAAGGAGAATTTGAACATAGTAAATACTGTTTTCAATGTAATTTGCAACTCTCCATTCCTGAAAAATAATGGAGTGCTCAAACAAAAGAGTGACATCACAAGTGGACTTTAAATAGGAATAGATAGGGGAAAATATGTCTTCAAAAATCCTTCTCAAGAACAGCAAAGCCATGGTTTGTTATATTTATGCAAGCATCCTCAGGTAGTTTAGATTCAAGTTTCTTCTGATCAATACCCTCAGGAATACATGTAGGATGAGGCTACAACAGTGGATAAGGGTTTTACGAGGGGAGAATTTAGGATGAAATGTTTACATTTCAAGAATGGCAAGACCACTCAAAATAAAACTTACAAGCAAAATATATCTTTTTTTGTTCGGAATTAGTGTTTAGCTCACCTCGACGAAGTCGAGATGAGTTTATGCTATACTGTCGGCGTCCCGGTAAAAGTTTTTGGAGCAGGTCCATTCCCAAGTAACTATAAGGCCTACCTGGACCAAACTTGCATGGATGATGCATCTAGGGATGAACACTACCACACTTGCTTCGGATGCTGGATCTGACCTAGATTTTCCACATGGGTGACCAGGTTAAAGTTTTTGGAGCAGGTCCATTCCCAAGTAACTAAAAGCCCTACCTGGACCAAACTTGCATGGATGATGCATCTAGGGATGGACACTACCACACATGCTTTGGATGCAGGATTTGACCTAGATTTTCCACATGAGTGACCAGGTTAAAGTTTTTGGAGCAGGTCCATTCCCAAGTAACTATAAGCCCTACATGGACCAAACTTGCATGGATGATGCATCTAGGGATGGACACTGCCATACTTGCTTTGGATTCTGAATCTGACCTAGATTTTCCAGAAGAGTGACTAGGTTAAAGTTTTTGGAGCAGTTCAATTCCCAAGTCACTATATATAAGCCCTACCTTGACCAAACTTGCATGGATGATGCATCCAGGGATGGACACTTAACCACACTTACTTCGGATGCTGGATCTGACCTAGATTTTCCACAAGTGACCATGTTAAGGTTTTGGAGCAGGTCCATTCCCAAGTAACTATAAGCCCTACCTGGACCAAACTTTCATGGATGATGCATCTAGGGATGTGCAGTAACCCACCTGCTTTGGATGCTGGATCCAACCTAGATTTTCCACATGAATGAATTTTTGCCATATTTTAACCAAATTAGCATGGATGATGTATCTAGGGATGGATACTTCCAGACTTGCTTTGGATTCTGAATCTGACCTACATTTTCCAGATGAGTGACCAGGGTAATTTTTTGGAGTAGCTATATAATATAATGACCTGTTATGATTAAACTTGTATAGATGGTGCATCTAAGGATGAAAACTTCCAGACTTGCTTTAGAGTTTGGAACTGAGAACTGACCAAAATTTTCTTGATTAGTAAACAGGTTAAAAGTTTTTGAGCAGGTGTATTTCCAAGTAACTGTAAGTCCTACTTGAATCAAACTTGCATGGATATTGATCTTTGGATGTACACTAACTACAAAAAAAAATATGATGTGAAATTTGCCTTACTTATAGATAACATTCGTTGAGGTGAGCTTCGTAATCTTTGATTACCTATCTTCTTTTTAAAATATGATCTCTGCCTGGGGTTAGGATTGAGCTGAAATGAGAGATTTTACATAGTGCATGTGTACAGGAAAAAAAAAATCTTCTCCAGAACAATTGGACCCTGTTGACTTGATCATACTGATGTTGAAGCATTGCCATGTTGCAGTGTAGTTGGGATTCATTAACTTTGATTAAATGATAGCTGCCTTAGGACTAGATTTTGCTCCACAATATGGAGTCAATTAAAGAAGGAAATTTAAAAAAAAAAAAGCAACTGATGAGGAACATCAAAGTCAGTGTGACTCAGATGATCATTGTGGTCCAAATGGTCCTCTTGTTTTAAGTTGTATCTATGGCAGACAATTAGTACAATTCTCTTTTCTGCTTGAACTTTCAGTAAGGCGTGACATTCTCGGCTATACATAATTAGTGTCTCTCAAATAGTGACCTAGATTCTCATTGGTTGCCAGATTAGCTCATTAGTACTAAAATTAACACAGCTTTTCATTCACGGGTCAAATACACATGGGATAAAAATGAGTCAGACGTCAACGAGTGATGCAAGAAACCAATGTTTTCATTTCTTACAGTAAAGAGGTGTGGCTTATGTCACCTCATCGTTTGTCAACAACAATCTAAAGTTGTTTATGTTATTAATTACTTAATCAACAAAAATGATCAATGAGAATCTAGATCACCATTTGAGAGACGCTAATTATGTATTGACGAGAACGTCAAGCCTTACTGAAAGTTCAAGCAGAAAAGAGAATTGTACTAAATGGATATTAGAGATTTTTTTAAATATGTTTTATTTGGTGAAATTCCTTAAATTTTTATTTGGGACTTTTGTATTATAAAACATTAGGGTCCCCTATTCAAGTGGTGGTAATAATTATTAATAAATTGTTTTTAATACATTGTATAGTAGTTGACAATACTGATGTAAGCCATTGTGTAAATTATACATGTAGTAATAAGCTGTAACTTGCTGGCTGCATATTAAATCAAGCATGCATTTGAAATACAAGTTTATTTGGTACATATGATGGAATGCATTTTACATTTGCATTGTTTTTTACAGATATTTTTAGTGTTTGTTGACTTCAACGAAAGGAATGAAATACTGGAACCACACTTGCCAAAAAGCAATAAACTCTGCATCAAAAGAGAAACCGTTCGTAGCCTTATGGATAGTTTTGGTAAGAAAATCCAACTCATGCTTTTGATGAAATGTCATATCATTGGATCACTGAGTTTTTAAGGATATCCGATCCTCAACCAGGAAGGATAACTCTTTATTTTATAATTTAATTTAAAAAGTCTCAAAATGAAGTTTGAAATTGAAATATTTACATGCAACAATTTTTATTTTATGTGTCTCAATGTGATTCAATGTTCTTTGAAGTTCTTAGAGACGGTCTTATAAAAAGTTGATATTTGTACCCCATGACAGTATTTTAGAAAATACATATTTAAAGAAATCGAATTCCCTTTTAATAATCTAGCCTTAGATACCAATGTTTATTAGCATATGAAATTAGAAGTGATTTATGGTGTTTTGCAATGATAGGAAATGCTTTATACACTAGTATGTATTATAAAATGATTAAGTAATGAAATTTGAATAGTGATATATATATATATATATATATATATATATATATATATATATATATATATATATATATATATATATATATATATATATATATAGAAAGCACTGCAAAAACCAACAACACTGTATATCCTAAGTGTCGGATCTACTAAATAGATACAAGGTCAAGGATGGAAACTTATATAAAGCACTAAAAATGACCAACGACACGAACAACAGAAATTGTCAAATTTTCGGGACGCCCTGTCCCTTCCTCAGGACAAAGAAAAAAAAGTTAAGAAGTCATAAAAACAAAGGAAATAGAAAAACAAAATAAATAAATTTATTTCTTTACAACTGATTATAAAATTCAAATTCAACATGCAACATTGTAAATAAATAGTGTTTGGTAGTTTAGTAGTACTGCTATCTGTTTTTTGTTTTTCTATTTCCTTTGTTTTTATGACTTCTTAACTTTTTTTCTTTGTCCTGAGGAAGGGACAGGGCGTCCCGAAAATTTGACAATTTCTATTGTTCGTGTCGTTGGTCATTTTTAGTGCTTTATATATATATATATATATATATATATATATATATATATATATATATATATATATATATATATATAATTCAAAAGGAGTTAAAAGATGATGTCACACAGTAAAAATAATCATAAAAGAAAATGCACAGTTTCCAAATTTCATTTAACACAAGCGCTTTCTGGATTTAACAATCCTTCTTCATTTTGATTTGTTTTGCTTGGTAACATTACCAAGCAAAACAAATCAGTTCAAAGTATGTACACCTGAAGAAGGATTGTTAAATCCAGAAAGCGCTTGTGTTAAATGAAATTTGGAAACTGTGCATTTTCTTTTTCTTTTATGATTATATATATATATATTATATATATATATATATATATATATATATATATATATATATATATATATATATATATATATATATATATATATGTTGAATTGATTTTAAATTTCTCAGTCCATTTACTAATCTTAATATTTATTAAAAGATTGTTAATGCTTTTAATAGTTCTTTGTCATGGAATATTGAAGAGCAAGATATATCATTTTTCATTGATGAAAGACTTATTTTTTCCTACTAAAGTTTATTTTTATCTAATGATTGTATCTCTGCAGTTAAGCTTTTCTTTTCAAAGTTTGTCCATCCATTGTCATCCTTCATTTGTTGACATTCAGATGTTTTTCTACACCAATAAGTTTTAAAAGATTTTTGCTGCATGCATTCATTTTAAACAGATTCAAATCCAATAGAATAAATATCAGCGATATTAAACTTTTATTTTTATACCATTAGGCCAAAAAAAATTAATAGTTTCTCGGGCACCACTGCATCAGGTCAAACACTGCCACATTGATCAATTTTATTGACATTTTGAAAAGAGAATAACTCAATTTTCTATTTTTCCAAGTTGAAAAAGAAAATTGAGTTATTCCCCTTTTATAAATGCTAATAGATAGACGTTTTTATAACATAAACAATACATTTCTTGTTAATACAGTATTTTATGAATTACTTTGTTTGGAATAAGGCCAAATAAAAAAATATGTGTGGTTCCGGTTACCCGACCGTCCCTATTTTATACCCCCGACCCTAAACCTTTTTTTGACAATTTTCATATTTTTTCCGGAATTTTCCCCAATTTCCATCAATGGCTCTGGTTTAAGTTTTAGTTTCAGCAATGACGGCCTCCTTGCACAACAAAGTGCAAGTGTTTATTAGTGTTAAATCCAAAGCAAGCTAGCATGTAGGTGTCCCCTACCAATACTGACTAGTATTTTATCACACCACATCTAAATGTCATTTGCAAAGTAGTGATAAGTATTATTTAGAATAATTAAGAAAATCATTTTGTCAAAAAAAAAAAAAAAAAATCCCTACCTACCTACCCTAATTTTTTTGGATGTGTAACCGGAACCACACATATTTTTTTGTTTGGCCTAACATTTAAAATTGAATGCATATTATAATTAATGAGAGAACAAAAAAGTAAAAATCAGTTGATATCATCTTGTTGAATGACTGACATGAAAAAAAGGTATAACACCTGCTTCCAAAAAAAAAAAAAAAAGAACCTGCCTGCCGCATGGAATTTTGAAATTTTTGGCCTGAGAAACTATTAATTAATTTTTTATGGCCTTATTAAAAATATTTACATGTAAATCATATAGGAGTCCCTTATTTTTCTATTTTCCAATGCTTAATGCTATAAAATTCTTAAGTATTACATGTAAGTGATATGTTAGAAAAAAATTAATAAAAAGTAAAAGTCATAAATGAAGTGTACATAATTCTTATTTGAATCTGCATAAAACTTTATTAGGGCCCCTCAAGGATTTGTGGGTACCCTATAGTAATCTGTTTGTCTGTCTATCATTCTTTTGTTGGCAATTTCTTTTTTTTTCCCTTATAACTTTTCCTAAGTTGTTCTATTAAGTTCAAATTTGGCATGTTGGCTTAATATACTGTAAAACATTTTGATACCAATTTTGATTCTGGATCTTATGTGATTGGGAGCTTGGATGGTGGGATAGATTCAGAGTCCTAGTTTAGAGGAACATTTTCTTCAGTTATCTTTCTCTGCTTATTCAATCTCATATTGTAAACTGAAAGCTGTAATGAGTCCCATGTGATTAATTGCTGCAGAAAATCTAGAGCTTATTCTTTATCTGTCACATTAAGATTAATTAACACCTCTGTCTGCAAGTGATGTTTATTCTGAAGTTAGGTCAAGCCTGTGTGATGTTGCGCATGTGTTAGAAAATGGACGGTCAGAAATTTTGAGAGAAGATTGTGTATTACTGTAACATATCTTGTTTTGGTGATATTAGGATAACAGTGTATGTCACATTATATCGGAGGTTAATAAGGACAATAAGAGACGATTATCTTCAGATGGTTTCACACCTAAACCAGACAGTAAGTCAGCCAAAACAGGAAGGGTGGCCAATGACGGGCCCGTTGACAAAGGCACATTCATAAATACACCACCGCCTGCACATCTGAGCACTGCGCAGCCTGCATGAGTGGATCAACTCATGATTCGAATCAATGACCTTGACACCAAAATCTCGAAAATCAACAAAGTAAGTGAAGATTTGACTTTATTGTGCAATCGCATTGAAAATATCCAGATTAGAGTTGGGCATATGGAGAAGTTTATCGGTAACTTTAGGAACTCGATGGGGGAAATCAAGAAATCTCAGATGTGGCTAAAAGGCGATGTTGAGGAAACGGTGAAGGAAATTATGGAATTGAAGTTAGTGAATGAACAATTACAAGGCAAAATTACAGATATGCAGGCAAGATGTATGAGGGACAATTTGTGCTTTTTTGGACTGGCAGAGTACCGTGGAAATGGTAAGGAAAGCTGTACAAACCTCATCAATGAATTCTGTGAAGTCAGGGACACATGAGTGGGGTCTAGATGTAAATGTATCAAAAACTAAAGTTGCTGTTTTTAGAAATGGTGGGAAAGTCCACACAAATGAGAAATGGCTTTATAACGGTGAAAATATAGAAATAGTTGACCAGTTTGTTTATCTAAGCATTGTGTTTAATTATAATTGTAAATTTTTTATTACACAAAAATAATAAGCGGCACAAGGTCGCAAAGCTATGTTTGCTCTCAAATCAACAACGAAACAGCTTTATTATGCCCCCATAATCGAAGATTCGGGGCATATAGTTTTTTTCCCCTGTTCAACTTTTGATTGGTTGAAGGTATGGCTTTCGTATTTCACATGTGTATTCCTTGTGACAAGACCTTCCTTTGGGTACCATCATATTTGACCTTTTGACTTTGGAGTTTGATCTACTTTTGCAAAATTTTATGAGACTTTAACCTTGGCCATAACTTTTGAATGGTTGGCTCTTGGGCTTTTAAACTTCACATGTGTATTTCTTGTTACAAGACCTTTCTTTCGACACCACCAACTTTGACCCTTCGACATTGACCTTGGAATTTCACCTACTTTAAATTATTGCAGTCTGAAAATTGTATATGAAGAGCTGCTTATGATTGGTTGTATTGCATTTGTGAAAATGATAAGCAAAATTATCAAAGCTGGGCAAAATTTATTAAGGAGCAATAACTGTACATTGGTTGGGACTTGGTTATATGTGGAACAACCCAAAGAAATTTAAATAGTCGTACAATTCGTTTATTATCATAGTTTATTTGTCAGGCCAAAACTTTATAATAAGTGACTTTTATAATAACCATAGTCGGCTGAAATTCATGTCGGACGGCTGACGATACGACGTTTGTGTAAATTATTGGATGTATTATACATCTTATATTACATATAATTTCGATTTTTATGTTTATTTGAAATACAAGTTAACTGACATATCATTTCATAATATTTACTTACTGTTTCAACTTTTTATTATAAATAAATTCACTTAAATAAAGCTTAATACGCTTCAAACTCAATCTTCTAGATCCCTTGGCATCCATCTTGTTTATTTTGATCTACTTTCATTTTTAATTTATGGTCAATTCAAATTACCAATGTTTCGTTTCGGGTTTTTTTTTATCACATATTAAATAAATTAACACAG